GTTGCACATAGAGATTTTTTTTTCCCCAAACATGAAGTTTGTCAATTCTCTCATAAATGCCAAAGAATAAACCAACTGGAAATTTAACAGACTCCTCCCTAAAGGCTTATCTTCTCCACCCTTCAAAATGACAGAACTTCCCTGTAAGCCTACTTACACAAAAGTTAAGAATCATCTATAATATCAATCATCCACCAGATGCAGCAGAACTCATCCAACAGTGCATAACATGCTTCACAGCCCATAGGTTACACACAACTTCTGGCAGCTCAAGCTTTGCCTGCTTGTTTCTCAGCCTACCCAACCCATTTGCTCCTTCAGCAAGCAGGAACCCCCTCAACTTTTATTCCTCCCAATCATCATTTAACATACAGTTTTCACCACTTGGTTTAGCAGCTCAGAAGGTGACTTCCAAAAGGAGGTCAATATAATCAACAACTCAAATTCAAAAGCTCCATGGAAAGCTGAGTGTAGCTTAATGAAGCACATTAAATGCCACATGGTCCTTCCAGCTTACAAAGCACAACACGCGTTTTCAAGCTCAGCCAGTTTTCACATGTACTGAAGCAGAAGGAAAGAAGTCATAGGAGTCCTGCCATATGTAGCTTCTTGCTTCACTTACAAACCTTCATGCAGACCCAGACTACCAGAGTCACAGCCCTGTGCTTCACACCTCCAGGCTGTAAATCTTTGTGGTTTTATTTTTCCCCCCACAAGAGAGAGTGGTAAAGTCCCCATTTCAGTATTATGAATCAAATCATACACAGCCATGTTTCCATGTTAAAGGAAGCAAAGTCAGCATAGCCTGTCCCACACATGGCAGTGTAGTACTCTCATGTCCTAGACAGGTTTATTAAAAAAAAAAAATCAACAGAATGTAAGTCCGCACAGATCCAGTGATCTATCATTTAGTTCTCTTTCCTGACATACGTACACACTTCAACCCACTTTTTTTTCCAAGAGATACTCAGTGTAAAAGCTGGAACACCACATAGGAAGCATGTAGGATAGTTCTGAAGCACAGAAACAGTGCAGCAACGTGAAGCATGTACAGCAACAAATGTGAGTTACAATAGGGCAGAACCATTCTGAGTTAAGTTCTATTCCTTCCACCCATCCCTCAGTATAAGGAAATTCAAATCCTTCCACATAGAGGATTGTGAGCCACTGGCACAGGCTGTCCAGAGAAGCTGTGGATGTCCCATGCCTGGAAGTGACCATGGCCAGATTGGATGAGGCCCTGGGCAGCCCAATCTGGTGGGTGACAACCCTCCCAAGGCAGAGGGTTGGAACTAGAGGATCTTAGGGATCCCTTCCAATCCCAGCCATTCAATAATTTTACCATAGTTTCCCTCCACAGCTGAGGGCTACTGTTTGTTTTTATGGTCTAGCTGCTATTCCACAGTCCTACCTCAGGACCAGCAACTTGAGCCAAACCACAAAACACTGCTGTAGCACAAGTGTTCCTAAACCTCATTCAGGAGCTCAGAAGGCTGCTTAAAAAGCTTTAGGAAGAGAGGTAATCAGAAGAGAAATGTTCTTAAATGACTCCCCAGATCTGTTTCACTTGTGCCCCTGTTAACCTAAAAGGAAAAAACATGACTAAGATACCTATTCAAGACCTCCATCTTCTCTTTCTAAGAGATTTGGTGTCCAAGTGACAAGTTCCAGCAACCCTCACATCACGTGCAACAACTGCAAAATTCACTCAAAAGCTAAGCACTGACAACTACTTCAGATGGGATTGCTGAATTATCCACATCACGACCTCCCCAAAGACAAGTTCTTGCCCAGGAAGCTAGATTGCCAACCACAGCTGCAAGGTTCTGCTGCCTCTTTTTTTCCCAAGCATTCACATCTTAATTCTCTCAGCAAGAGCCCTTCCGGCACAAGTAGGCAGCTGGGAAGGATTACATCTGATTCTCATTTGATTACTAAATTAGAGCAAGCCCTGGACAACACTGCAGAGGAGTTTGACTACAACCTTAAAGACAGGATAGAGTAGTTTAGAGTAATTTTAAGCTCTAAGGAATACTTTCCTCACTGCTGCCATAGTGGTGATCCTAAGCATAAAGTGGTTTAGGTTGGAAGAGAGCTTAAAAGACCATCCAGTTCCAACCCCCTGCCATGGGTAGGGTCACCAGCCACCAGATCAGACTGCCCGAGATCCCATCCAACCTGTCCTTGAGCCATTTGAAGGATGAGGCACCCACAGCTTCTCTGAGTAACCCATGCTGGTGCCTGACCACCTTCTGAATAAATAATTATTTCATAATATCTAGCCCAATTTCCCTCTCTTTCCATTTAAAGTCATTCCCCATTGTGCTATCACTATCAAGCCATGCAAAAAGTTGGTCCCCCTCCTGCTCATAAGCTCCCTTCAAGCACCACAAGGCCACAGCAATGTTTCCCTAGAGCTTTCTCTTCTCCAAGCTAAACCACATTAAGCTGGGCATCATCTACCTGTGGATCCCACTAACACCACATGGAGGACCCATTTAAAACACAGAGCAGAGCAGCAGGGAGCAATCACTCCCTTCATCCTACAGTGAAACACTATTTCTTCCTCATGAACCTTTGATCTAAATGGACTTTCTAAAACCCGTTGCAACAGGCGAAATTGGCCTCAAGGAATGTAGTGGGTTGTTCTAATAAAACTTCATACTCCATGTGACAGATCCACACAGAATCACTAAGGTTGGAGAAGACAACTAAGGCAATCTATCCCAACCACCCACCCATCCCCACTGAACCATGTCCCTCAGTGCCACAGCTCCATGCTTATTGCACACCTCCAGGGATGGTGACTCCACCACTTCCCTGGGCAGCCCATCTGAATGTATTACCACTCTTTCTGAGATTTGCATATTCTTTTTCAGGCTTCCTATAGCCCCAAGCAAAAGAAACCCGAAGTCACAAATACTCTTCTTATAACAAAATAAAAATATCCATACTGCTGTAGACCATGCTCTTGTGAGCACATTCCATGGCCAAGCACCTGCAAAGCCTTGTTCAACATCACATCAGCATTATTCCGATTTCCCCTACATACACAATTTGCAAACCAGCACTATCCAGGTACTGCAGCCTTTTCTTCCCCAGAAGGCTGCCAGCTGAATGGGCCACTCCCAAAGGAAGCCTTAAAGCCTGTTATATCCTAACAAAGTCTTTGGTAAACCAATTACAGCTACAATGGGCTAAAAAGGCTGCACACAGACGGCCCTAACAGAAAACCTAAGAGTATGCAAAGGGGGGTGTAGGTAAGGAACACCTGATGGAAATAAGGGGCAGCCAGGGGATGATCTACCATTAGGAGTCTAGGGCTGGAAACCTGTTCATATCTAGGGGCTCAGCTTCAGCCATTGAGCACGTTCACAAGGAAACCACTCAAGAAGAGCTTTTGGATTTTTTCCTAATTAACCAAGAGGATGCTCAGCTGCTCTTCATATCCTTGGACATGAGCATCCTCATCCTCCAGCTGAGGTCCCTGCGTTTATTCAGCCTAGAACAGGAAGCTGAGGGGAGGCCTCATGGTTGCCCACAGCTCCTCACAGGGAGCAGAGGGGCAGCACTGAGCTCTGCTCCGTGTGACAGCAACAGGGCCCAGGGGAACAGCATGGAGCTGTGCCAGGGGAGGGGCAGGGGGTGTTAGGGAAAAGGTCTGCACCACAGGGTGGTGGGCACAGAACAGACTGCCCAGGGCAGTGGGCACAGCACTGAGCTGCCTGTGTGGTCCTATGTGGAGCCAGGAGTTGGACTTGATGGGTCCCTTCCAACTCAGGAAGTTCTGCAAGATTGTATTAGCTCTTGCATCAGGGGGAGAACAACATTCTTACCTACTTGGTAGCAAATCATTGAGCCCATGCTTTCATTTGTGGGAGTATTTTGATAATTAATACCCTTTATTTCACAAAGTATCCCCTGTGGTTTATGGGTCAATTAACACATAGCCTCCCCCACTACAGGAACAGAAAGAAAAAAAAAACACAACAGAAACAACAAAGTAGGCTGTTCTTACTGTTAATGTTCTGTGAAATACAGGCCGTGAAGTGTTGCAATGTCATTACTCCCACTGGAAAAAGCTATCAGCTGCCACAGGAAGAACTTGTTGCAGCTTTCACAAGCTGACTGGCATTAAACACCGGAGTCCAGGCAGTACAGAGATTCAGGACCTGTGGCTTCTCAACTCAACTGGAAGCTTTAATTACTATCACTGCAGGTTTTTATAAGAAGGAGAACAGATTGCGGCTTCTGTTAGATCACTTAACCCCAAAGAGAAGCATCCACGGTGTTCCAAACACAGCACAGCTGGGGCACAGCAGCAATGTCTCAGGTCTCCCACCATCCCTTCCCAGCAAACAGCACTCAACCCAAAAGACTTCACGTTTTAAGGGAAAGTTAAGCAAAACAACATCACAATGCAATTAGAGGAGCTGTTATTCTAACCAAGCAGCGCCGTACCTGATGCCCATCCTATTTTTTGTCACATTCTCCCTGCTTACACCGTTGGCTTCCACCCTTCATTAAAATTTTCTAAGCCACTGAGCTCGCACATCAGAGCCGCGACTCCGCGGTGCCTCATTACCATCAGATAAAGGCTCGGAACAACAGTTTTACGAGAGAGCATCTGGCGCCCTAACTGCCGGCTGCGAGCTGCTGCCATCCCTTCTCCAACCCCACAGGTCCGGAGAAAAAAATTCACCAATTAAAAGCGACGCGAAGCTCCGAGCAGAGCCGACAAACGGGTTGTGATACCCAACTAAAAGGGTTATCTGGCAGAATAGTTTGGGTTGTTAAGGAATACCCGCTTTCAACCCCCTAGCCGCAGCCTAACGGTAAGTTGCACGAAACCCCGTGCAGCCTGGCCCCGAGCACCACCAGGGACGGAGCATCCACAACTTCTCCGGGTAGCCCGTGCCGGTGCCTCGCCACTCTCCAAGCAGAGAGCTTCCCCCGAAACCTCGCCCTAATATCAGCGCCGGAGCTACGGAGGTACTCACACATCAGCGTGCAGAAGGCGCACAGTGCCAGCAGTGCCTGTAGCAGCACTCCGAAGCGGCCCAGCAGCGCTCCGCTGCCGCAGCCTTGAGTCGGACGGGACGCGGCCATGACCGGGCGGAGCGCAGCACAGCGCAGCGAGGAATGGAACACGGCCGCCCCGCTGCCTACAAAGCCGGCTCCGCGCCCCCGCCCCTCTGCCGGCGACCGCACCCGGGGGTGGGGTGGGGAGGGGCATGGGTGAGTGTGGGAATGGGCGTGGTGATGGGCATAAGGATGGAGATGGGCATAGGGATTGGTATTGGAATAGTAATGAGTGTGAATGTGGGTGTGGATTTAGGAATGGATTTAAGGTTGGGAATGGGAAGGGCTTGAGGGATGTCCAGTAGAGGTGGGGGTGGAGGGGATTTGATGGTGGTTGGGGTGCTGGGATAGAAAATTGACACGAGTGTCTTGGCAGAATCTGGAGTGCTGGGTTGGGGAAGGTGGGTAGATGTCCCAGTGGGGGTTGAGGTATCAGATATTAGGGGTTCCACTAGGGCTTGGGATGCCAGGATGAGGAATCTGGATTGGGGTCCTTGGGGGGCTTAGGGTGCTGGGATGGAGAGGGTAATTGGGCATCCCAGTGAGAACTGTGGTGCTGAACCCAGCTCCCAGTGGGAGTCCTGGCTGCGTTTAGGGTACTGGCATGGGGAGTGTGGACTTGGGTCCCGTTGAGGTCTGGAGTGCCAGGCTGGGGGGTTCTTGGTGGGGTTTGAGAGACTAGGATGGGGTGAGTTGTTGGGGGAATGCTGTTAGGGATCAGGGTGCCAGGCTGGAGGAGGTCCTGGTAGGGTTTGGGATGCCAGGACAGGGAATGGTACAGGTATTCCTTTGAGGACTGAGGCTGGAGGGTCCCAGTGAAGTTTGTGGTGCAGTAATGAGGAGTTTGGGCTGTGGTCCCAGTGGAGTTTGGGGTGCTGAGCTGGGGTGTTCTGTTGAGGATGGGGAGTGCCAAACTGGGGACATCCCAAGAGGGCTTGGTGTGCTGAGATGAGGAGAGTGAATGAGGGTCCTAATGGGTTTGGAGACACAGGGATCGAAAGGACATGGAGCATCCTTGAGGCTTTTTGGGTGCCAATTCAGGGAGGAAGGTGGGGATCCCAGGAGGAATCAGGGGGGATTCTATCTGTGACAGGATAATCTGATACACTGCAGGGTTTACTCATGGGGTCAATATCTTAAAGTGCTGCCTCAAATTTGCTACTCTGCCTAATACCATTCCCCTCCCCCTCTACAGCTTCTTCCCCAGAGGGCAGGTTTCATTTTCTATTTCTTTTCAGTACACTTATCTTCAGAGAGAAGTGAGGTCACGCGCCTGAGTTTTCCTCCTTGACTTCAAGACACAGGAACTTGCATTCAGCTACAAAACCAAGCGAACTGCAAATCTCATCATATCATATGACTCCAAGCAATAGCCTTAAAATCAATAGTAAACATTACAAGGCACTAAAGAAAATCATGGGAACTGTTCTTCATCTGAGTCCATACATCCCCTGGTACCAACGTGATGAAATAGCCCCTGCCAGAAATAGTCCCTCCTTTTTTCTAGGGTGAACCAAATTGCGGACTGGCAGATGCTCAAGTCACCAGCTTGAATCACGATTTAATCATGAGTTCAGTCAGCAAGCTGGAAGTTAGTTCTTGCTAAGTCATTTTCAGCTGATTTCATGTGTGCAACATAGTTTCATAAAAATCTGTGTCTTGCAATCAGTTGCCTTTATATTAAATTCTAAATGAAATATTAAAGTTGATATTATTACATACACCTTGCTAGCATCTATAAAGCAATGCGTATCTTAACACAGATTTACTTTGGCTCTAACATTTTACTTTTTCTTAAAATTCCTCAGCTGCTTTTGAAGAACCATTTCCAAGAACTGGTTGCTGGATGACAGTTTTTCACCTGGGAACTGCCTCAGGCTCTTTTTGCCCAAGTATTGCACAGCAATCGGAGAACACACACACAAGACATTTGAACTAGATGGATATTTCTTAAAAATTCATTTTCTATGGATATCGTGCAAATTATTCATCAAAGACAGTATTCGGGATGCATCAGCAGACTGTGTGTATGTGTACGAAGGAAGGTTTTCCCAAGGCTCCCTCTCAGCAGTTGTGCATTCTGCGCTCCTGCCAGCCAGTAGTGGTGGTTTCTCGTTGCTGCTCCACTCAGCAATGGAAAGTTATCTGAAGCCTTATTTTCAAATGCTGAAACTTTTACAAGAGAGCCCAGTATGTGTGAAAACACACAGGCTATAAAAGGGATAAAGAGAAAAATCCTGATTTCACTCCTTCCTGTCCCTCATTGCAGAGTTAGCAATCCCTTAGTGGTTATTTTTACTCAACACTTCACTGTGAAACCATAGCCTTGGCTTACCAAAAGCATGATTTGCACTTCAAAATACTTGGATTTTTGAAACCTGTGCAAATAGCCCTTATGGCTTGGCTGTGTTGGTGGTAGAGTCTGTGGGCACTGATTCCTTAATTCTGTTATATTATTTTGGCAACTAAGATGTCCCACAGCTGTCTCCACACCTTTTGTCCCCCAAGGATTTCTATCTCTCTGCAGAGGCAAAGAGGTGCAGGATCCCATTTAAATCTGGAGGGGAGAGGAAAGGAGAGGAGTGGGAGAGGGAGAGAGAGAGAGAGGGAGAGGGAGAGGGAGAAGGAGAAGGAGAAGGAGAAGGAGAGAGAGAGGGAGAAGGAGGGAGAGAGGGAGAAGATCCTTCATTTTTCCCAAAGCCTTGTTTGGATAAAAGTCTGGAGAGGTCTGTCTTTGTGATCTCACAGAAATATGGATGAAAATTGTTAATGCTACTTGCAAAAATAGCAAAGTGAGAAAAAGGAAACCGAGTAAGCAAATACCCAAGAATTCCTCTAACAACTAGAAATTTAAAAAAAGTAATTAGAACAAAGAAAATAAAGACTCGTGAAAATTTAATTTAACTATTAGATGATGGTTGTATAGTTACAAGCAAAAAAGCCAAGACATTCCAGTAGTTTCAGGTAGTAAGGGATGCAAAAAGCAATCCTGGCAATTTTGTACATGTGAAAGGAAGGATGGAGTAAATCTCTGAATTCTCAGAGAGAAAAAAAACAAATACTGGAAAACACAGAAAATACTGTATTTTTTCTCTTTAAAGAAGGATTAGCCAGGTCGCACTGGCAAGTAAAATTGGTTTATAAAGAGCAGAGCAGAGACAGAACAGGACAAGAATGTGTCAAAAGATGAGACGAGGTAAATCTGAGGTATGCCAGAGCCTGAAGAAACCTGTGCAAGAGGAGCTATGAAGTGAAGCCAGGGCAGCTGACCTAAACCCACCAAAGAGGTATTTCATACTGTACAGAGTTATGATCGGCAATAAAAAATAGTGAAGAGGAAGAAGGGGGTCTATTGTAATAAAAATGTTTATTCCTCTAAACAGTTGTTACTTGCATTGAAACCTTGTTCTTCAAGATACAGCTGCCCATCAGAGTGAAAACACCACAGCAGGGAAGAACATTGCCTTGCTCAATGAAAACCAACCTTGACCAAGGAAATGACAATTGGAATATCAAAGAGATGCTGGTATAGGCTGTCCAGAGAAGTTTCCCCTGGAAGTGTTCAAAGCCAGGATGGATGGGGCCCTGGGCAGCCTGCACTGGTGTGTAATCTAGTGGTTGGCAACTCTACTCATGGCAGGGGGGTTGGAACTAGATAATCTTTGAAGTCCCTTCCAACCCAAACCATTCTATGATTCTGTCAGGGCATCTTCCATGCCATTTCTATGCTACATGAGCATAACATGTGGACTGAACACATCTACACCCACAGCAATGATGAGCAGCATCAACAAAAGGAGAACTTAGCAGCATGGATCAGTTAAGTGTTCTGGACTGTCAGATTTGAAAATGCATAAAATAAATGCATGGTGTTGAAGTAAATTAAGGTCTTTATTGTTGTTGTTGTTATTTTCTGTTTCTCGGTGATCCTGCTCTATTTTATCCTATGGATACTGAGAACCCATGCATTTTCTTCTTGACTTTGAGTTCTTACCATCTATCATCTCCTGAAAAAGGCTCTCCATATTCCTTGAAGACAATGTGTTGGGTTTTGAAAAAGCAAGTAAACTCTTTTGTTACAAAAAAAAGGGGTGTCTTGGAGCACTAGGAATTTTCCAGCCCATTGCAATGCCTAGTGGCAAATGTCACCTTGTCTCATGCACAGCTGGCCAAAATGCTCAGTGTGCAACGTGGCACTGGCTAACATGCTGCAGTCTTCACTGTGTTTGGGCTCTAATTCCCAAACACTTCAGGGCAAGGCTGTGTGTTGCAGGGCTTCCTCATTTCAAGGGCACGGAGCTCTGGGGAGCTGCTGGCTCAGGATCAGGTGGGATACTTGGTTCTGGGCCAAGGGCTCCATCTGATTTGCATCTGCTTCTCCTTGCACTGAGCTGAGAAGGAAATTTGAGTGCAGGAAACAGTGTTCGTTTCCATGTCCCATGCCTCTTTTATTTACTTTTTTTTTTTTTCTTTTTTTTTTAGGTCTGTAACATTTTTGAAAAGTTGCCATGGCCTTGGGTGCCTTTACAGCAGTGCTGTACAATCGCTGGTTGAAAAAGCCAAGCTTTGCTTTGTAGCAGCTGCTGTTGGGTGGGATCCGTCTCACTTATCTTTAGCTGAGATGTCTTTTGTCTCCTGTTATAGTCAGTGGAGGAAAACAGCCTCTTGGAGGACACATTCTTCTGATCCATTCTGGTCAGCTCTGAGATGAAGTGGGTCCTCTCTGTCTCAAGCTGTAGGTGTCCCTGTTCATTGCAGGGGAACTGGACCAAATGAAGATCAACTAGTCAAATTCCTCTGCAATGAACAAGGACATCCATGTGAACAGAGACTTACATAGATCCTTTCAAACTCAAACGATTCTATGATTTTATGATTCTAGGATGACAAGCAATTCAGTGGCAGTCCTGTGCGTCAGAAAAGTCATGTGAACATATTTGCTAATTTTTACAACAATACAACATTGTTTTTTTTTCCATTCACTTGCTCCTTAAGGTGTTTTGTATCCCCAAGTCCCCAGTGTAATGCAAAGGATAAGAAATGTCTGCAGACAGTTACTGTGACATGAGTGGGAGGAGGATGCAGAGATCTGCCCTTTTCAGGATGACACGTACATTTTTATTTTGAATTTATTTCTCATCTGATAGAGGAATTGTTTCTGAAAACAAGGGCCCTTGAGAAAATTTTCTTTAACTGATACTTCAAAAAGGTTTTATTCATACTGCCATCAGAATGGATCTCTGCTGATTAAAGAGTAACTCATCCTTATTCTTGCCACATTATCCCTTTTTTTTTTTCTCTTTTTAATTGTTTTTAAAAGATCTGACGTATTTAGCATTCACTTCTAGGTTATGTTCATAAGCAAGTGGCCAGCATCAATTTTAATAACGACCAAGACTTTGTATTGCTTTATACTCTGAGGATATATAATTCTATATTTTCAGTAAGCACCTTAGCTACATTATCATGAGATGTTCAGTTTCCAGCTCTGAATGAATGGGAACAACTTCATACCTTACAGGGCCTGTGCTATTATTTGCATGCCGTGTTTGGCTTGGGGCTGGGGCTCTCAGACAGTGTTTGCTCAGCTCATATCTGGCCATGTGAGCCAGTGAGGCAGGCAGCTAAGGCTTCCAGGCTGTGTGGATATGCAGGAAGAGGCATGTCTCAGCCTCCCTTCGAACACCTCAGCTGTGCAAATCAGTCCATTAGTGGATATCTCCTTCATCCTGCAAGGCCATTCCTCCTTCTGTGGTAGGAGGCAAATGTAAAGGAACCTCCTATAGGTCCCACTATCACTAAGAAATGGTCATCCTACATCAGGATAGACCCTCTTTACATCACCCTACATCCCTACAGGGATGATGGTTATACATCACCCTAGATTCCTGCAGTGCCTACAGACTTCACTGATGACAAAGCAGCTCGTCTTTACCAGTGCAAGAAATTAGAGGCCAGACCCTACTCCTTAGTCCTGCAAAGAGCTCAACAGCTGAGAAATCACTTTCCTACTCTGTTGGTAGGGTAAAAACTCCATCCCGAACCAATCAGTTCACATACTGTTTGTAGAACTCCACCTTGACTGGAGAATGATTTGATGATTAAGAGTGGACAGAAACTCCTGTTTTAGTGACCGGCTTTGCTACAGTCTTGGTACATTATTTTGGGAGTTCTGCAAGTAATTCATAGAATCATAGAATCATTAAGATTGGAAAAGTCTGCTAAGATCATTTAGTCCCACCATCAACCCATCACCACCATGCCCACTGAACAATGTCCCTAAATTACCAACATGATGGGGTGCACCTTTAATTCAGACCATTTTGCTGATTATGTGTATAGAAAAACTTCTAAAACACAGTGCAACTGATGAAGGTGGTGAACTGCAAGGAGGCTGGGATTTTTTGAATTGACTTTACCACTGAAATGAGAGGGGACAGCCAAAGATTACTCATTGGAGTACAAATGCCTACATGAGCATAGCCAGAGGCAGTGCTTTGGATTTCCTGAGAGTGTTCCTTTCAGTAGGATACTGGCAACACTGCAGCACATGGGGTTGGACTCGATGATCTCTGGAGGTCCCTTCCAACCCCTACGATTCTGTGACATACAAAACTCTATGAGTGTGACTGCTGGGACAACAGGAGAAGGCAATGGGGAAATTCAAGGAATATAGCTAGAAGAAACAAAGGAGTTATCCTTTAAGGAAGCAACAAGATCAGCTGCCCAGATGAAGTGCCTCTACACAAATGCATGCAACGTGGGAAACAAACAGGAGGAACTAGAAGCTACTGTGCTGCTTGAAAACTATGGTTTAGTTGTCATCACCAAAACCTTTTGGGATGATTCCCACAACTGGAGTGTGGCTATCAATGGCTACAAGATGTTCAGAAGGAACAGGCAAGGAGTTGGGAGGGACCTCAGGGGTCATCAAGCTCCAATCCCCCTGCTGCAGGCAAGGCTGCCAACCTCCATATCTAATGCTGGATTTCAACTGTTGGAAAAGTAGCACAGTGAGCTGGAGGCAATCCAGGAGGCTCCTGGAATACGTTGAGGATAACTTCCTAAGTCAAGTAATTGACAGCCCCACCAAAGGGAAATGCAATACTGGACCTGTTGCTCACCAATGCAAATGAACTGATTGGTGATACCAAGACTGGAGGCTGCCTGGGCTGTAGTGATCGTGCTATGGTTGAGTTCATGCTCCAGAGGGACATGAGACAGGTGAAGAGTAAAATTAAGAAGCTAAACTTTAGGAAAGCTACCTTCCAGCTCTTCAGGGAGTTAGTCAACAAAATGCCCTGGGACTGTTCTCATGGGCAAGGGTGCAGAGCAGGGCTGGTAGATCTTTCAGGGGGGTTTCTTCAGGGCGCAAGAGCTCTCCATCCCCAGGTGAAGCAAGTCAGGAAAAGAATGCAAGAGACCAGCATGGCTGAACTGGGACCTGCTGGGCAAACTGAAGAGCAAGGAGAAAATGAACAGACAGTGGAAACAGGGACAGGTACTGTAGAAAGACTGTAAGGAAGCTGCTAGGCTGTGTAGGGATGGGGTCAGGCCAAGGCTCAACTTGAACTGAACTTGGCTAGGGATGCCAAAAAGAACAAGAAAGGCTTCTACAGGTACCTCAACCAGAAAAGGAAAGTCCAGAAGGCTGTACCCTCCCCTAGTGAGTAACACAAGCAGGCTTGTAACAACAGACAAGGAAAAGGCTGAGGTATAATTTCATTTATTTATTTATTTTTTACTATAGTCTTCCCTGATAACTTCTCACCACACAGCCCCCAAACATTTTGTTTGGTAGGAGGAGATCGGGGAAGAAGGTCCCTCCCACTGTAAGTGAAGATCAGGTTCACGACCACCTGAGAAGCCTGAAAATCCGCAAGTCTACAGGTCCTGATGAGATGCATCTCAGAATCCTGAGGGAATTGGCTGATGCAGTTGCCAAGTCACTCTCTGATATTTGAAAAGTCGTGGCAATCAGGTGAAGTCACTGGTGACTGGAAAAAAGGAAACATCATATCCATTTTTAAAAAGCATAAAAAGGAAGATCCCAGGAACTACTGATCTGTCAGTCTCACCTCTGTGCCAGGGAAGATCATGGAACAGATCCTCCTGGAAGCAATGCTAAGGCAGGGAGGTGATACAGGAGAACCAGATTGGCTTCACCAAGGGCAAATCCTGCTTGATGGACCTAGTGGCCTTCTATGATGGTGTCACTGCATCAGTGGACAAGGGAAGAGTCACTGATGTCATCTATATGGACTTCAATAAGAGCTTTGACACGTGTCCCTTCTCTGAACATGCTCCAACAGGTCCACATTTCTCCTGTACTGAGGCCTCCACATCTGGATGCAGTACTCCAAGTGAGGTCATACCAGCACAAAGAAGTGGACTAAAGACTCCAAATTTGCTTTTTAGAGAAATCTCTTCCTTGAAAATGAAACTTTCTTCTTAGGCAGTAAAAGAAAAGTTAAAGTACAAGTTCAGCTTACTCTCTGTACCTTCTGGCATAGGGCTGAACTTTGGGAGCACATAATGTGCAGATTTGTGGCTTGGACACATACTGTCTAAGAACAGGATGGCTATATCCAACTGCCTTCAGACTCAAGAGAAGATTTGAATTTTTGGCCATTGTGGCCTGGGCAGAATGCCCAAGATCTGAATTGAAACAGTGGATTTAGCTTTGCAACAAGATGCCTTTTCCAGGAATTATGCTGATTAAGAGGTGCTTGCTGATGTTTCTTATACCTTTCCCTTTGGGAATATCAGAGTCCTGACCAGACAAAAAAAGGGATGAAGAAAAAAAGAATCAAATACTATTTTCTTGCTTTACAGTTCTTCTGTCTCCCTGACAGCTCTGAGATTTCCCCAGAGGAAAGGAAGTCTTTTTCTCTTCGTGACAGTGGTTTTGGGTGAGCCCTTTCAGATTTTGTGCTGGATGTGAGAGCCTGATTTCTCTGTAACTATGAGAAAAAGATCAATTAGTAAATGGGGACTTAACCAACTGACAAAATGTTAAATATTCACAGAATTAATGTAGCATGAACCAGAGAGAGCCTTAATTATTTTTTTCCCTGAGTTCTACAGCTCACTGAGAGGGTCTTGAAATAAAATGCTAATTTGCCAAAACCTGGCAAATATGCACCTTTCTTCAATTAGCACTTGAAAACCACACGTTCCTTCACAAGCCATCCTTGATGTTTTATAAATGTTATCATTAAGACATTGTTTCTGCTTCCTTTAATGAATTTTTTACAGCTTCAGTAAAGATTTTATTTCACTTCAGGTTGCAGACTCTCATCCTAAGAAGAGACCTCAGTTACCTCTCATAGGTATTTCTGAAACAACAAATGCTACCTACCTTTAAGCTAATAGCCTGCAAGAAGGCTCCATCTGTATTTACAGTGCAATCTTAGCTGCAGAAGTATGGGTTAGGAGCATGATATAAGTGCACATACACAGCAAATCTTTCAGAAGAAGGCTTGATTCCCTGGCTGGGTTTCACCCTTTGGATTAGTTGGGGTGCTTTCTTCCAGAAAAACAATTGAGTGTGCAGGAAGTGAGGTGGTCATGGTCTTGGGACTGAAAATCATAGAATCATATAATCATTAAGGTTGGAAAATACCACTAAGGTCATCTAGTCCAACCGTCCACCCATGCATATGACTTCTCTAGACCATGTCCCTCAGTGTCCCATCTATCCTTTTCTTGAAAACCTCCAGGGATGGTGACTCCACCACATCCCTGGGCAGTCTGTTCCAGGCTAATGCAATAAATACTGCAACTTAGGAATCAGGAAGAAGTCTGACTTCAGCCTGGAAACATCCATGAAATCTACTCCATGCTAACTTCCAGGATTTATTCCCATGGATTGCTAAAAAGCCATCAATTCTCTGAGAAGTTGTGTTTGTTACACCCTTCCCCCATCTCTGATGAGAAACATGCATTCACATTCTTGAGGGTAAAAATTACATGTGGAGACAAACACATTCTTGGTTGCCATAAGAGAAGCACAAAGAAGTCCATAATGGTCATATTAGAAGTGCAGTGAGTAGGAGGAACAAATACAATAAGAGTTGTGTTATGTTTCTTAGAATTTTTATGAGTCCCAAACCAATAAAACAACATCCAATATCCAACAAATGAACTCTACTTCTGTACACTAGAAGACAAATGCTGCACAAGATAGAAGAATGGGTTCACCCATGTCATGGTTTTACGATTTCTGTTATCAGTATTCCACATCATGATATCATGTAGTGCACTGGGAGTTAAAGAGTTAACACCCGAGTTCCATGGATTGTCACCTGTCTCAGGGTACTTTTCACAGAAAAGAACTACATCTCCCAGAAGACTTCACTGGTCCATTTCCATTTTTTGTTCGGAGGGAAAGATAAAACTGCTTGGGAGTCACAAGACTCCTCTTTTTCTGCATGTTTCCTGCGGTGTGCACTCCTTAGCCATCTTGCTTTCAGCATTAGAGTAAGGCCTTTGGTTTTGGACACTCTCTGTCTCATTTATTTATTAGTTTCAATTCCAATCATATTGTACTGTATTGAGTTATCTCACGTTCCACTATCATATTTAGTAAAATAGCTTTTCTCCCTTAGCTCATTGCTGCTGTTTTGTTTTTAGGACCATCTTGCTACCCTTCCACTTTCCCCCTTCTCCTTAATTTTGGGATGTGGGACCTTGGATCTCACCGCACAATTTAGTCATGGAATCAGGTTGAGCCAGGCCAGAACTGTGACAGCCCAACACATCTCCTAGAGTAATGAGTGCTGCAATCTCAGCTAGGTATTTGGGTTCAGTCCCTGTTTAGTGACTTTCTCTGTACAAGAAGCAAAAGTCATAAGGAAAATATCAATAAGGGAATTACTAATTTTCCCTGTGACAGGAAACCTGAAATCTAGTGGCAGAGATTCTAGGTAGCAGAGTAAGTTGCACTAAAATATACAATTACCTGTTGCTATTTTTCATTCACACATTCATGATGATATGCCATAGTGCTGGTGCCTGACCACCTTCTGCATAAATAATTATTTCATAATATCTAGCCCAATTTCCCTCTCTTTCCATTTAAAGTCATTCCCCATTGTGCTATCACTATCAAGCCATGCAAAAAGTTGGTCCCCCTCCTGCTCATAAGCTCCCTTCAAGCACCACAAGGCCACAGCAATGTTTCCCTAGAGCTTTCTCTTCTCCAAGCTAAACCACATTAAGCTGGGCATCATCTACCTGTGGATCCCACTAACACCACATGGAGGACCCATTTAAAACACAGAGCAGAGCAGCAGGGAGCAATCACTCCCTTCATCCTACAGTGAAACACTATTTCTTCCTCGTGAACCTTTATCTAAATGGACTTTCTAAAACCCGTTGCAACAGTCGAAATTGGCCTCAAGGAATGTAGTGGGTTGTTCTAATAAAACTTCATACTCCATGTGACAGATCCACACACAGAATCACTGAGGTTGGAGAAGACCGCTAAGGCAATCCATTCCAATCACCCACCCTATACCTATCAAACCACATAGAAAGTCACCCACCACACTCACTAGATACCAAATATACTGTTGACTTGCAAATGTTTACTAGACTCTCTAGAAACTGAAACTGGACTCAGGCAAGAAATGCTAATGTGGCTCCAGGGCTGCAGCCTTGGCCAAGGGACAGCTCTGCTTCTGGCTCTGGCCGGGGGAGCAGTGCCAGCAGGTTGAGGGTGGCCATCCTTCCTCACTGCTGCATGGCAGCACTGAAAACTCAGTCTGCGATGCCTGCCAGAACTGCCCTCTTGCCTGGGGGCCCATGCCCACACCTCCTGTGAGGTGGTGACCGTGATGTCACAGTGGGTGTCACAGAGCAGCCATTGTGACGCGTGAAGCTTGGAGCAGAGCAAAGGCTGCCAGGCTCAGGCCAAGCACCAGTGCGGCCTGGTGAGGCGCGGAGAGAGCAGGAATTCTCCTAGTGCTCGCTGTTGTTACGCACTATGTCCAGTGGAAAGCGGAAGGCCCCTGACTCAGGGGAGCCAGGTGAGAGCAAAGTATCCCTGCTTTCAGCTCCTGCCACAGGGCAGAGCAGTTCTGGGGGTCTGCCTGAGGCTGACAGAGGAGGAAGGGGCAGGCAGGAACTCCCCAGCTGCCATGGGGCAAATTCTCTCTGCTCCCTGGCAATGGTTCCTGCTGGCACCAATGGACCTGCCATGGCCTCTTCCCCTCCACTACCCTGCCTTCAGCCAGCATGATAGGCATGGAGCAGAATGCTGGGGACAGCCGTCAGGGACACCTGGCTCTGCAAGGTGCTCACTGCAGCTCACATTTGCTCTCTCCTCTCCAGCATGTGTGCTGTGTGGCCGGGTGGATGTTGACCCAAACATCTGCGGGCGCACGTTTGCTGACAGTGGAATTTGCGTCCATGAGTTCTGCTTGGTGAGTTCTCCCACAGGCTCCTTCCAGATTCCTGCCAGGGATACTCCTTTCCTTTCTCTCCTAATGAGATTCCACCATTTTCTTTCCTACAGACATTTGCCACCATCCGTTTTGAGGAAGGATCCCCACGAGGGGAAACTGTGCGCCTCCCCCTTGCTTCCATCAGACGCGCATGCAAGCATGCAAACCAGAAGGTGAGGACCTGAGTGGAGCAGGGTGTTTTGTGCCAGGACAGGCTAACACCAGCTCTGTCTGGACCCAAAGAGAGCAGTCGTGGCCCTTCCAAACATCTCCAGGACAATGTCCTACCATAGCAGATGAGCCTTGTTTGCCAGGTGGCACTGCAGAGTGTGATCCAGCAGTGTCCACATCCTGTGTCCTGCCCAGAGGTGTGGGGCTGGCCATGGAGGCCCTGAGCCTGCCACTGATGGTTCTGCTCTGCTCTTTCCTTCCAGCAATGCTTTGTTTGTGGTGAGAGGGGGGCTGCCATCAGCTGCGCAGAGAGCAGTTGTGAACGAAGCTTCCACCTGCCCTGCGCCATGGATGGGGAATGTGTCACCCAGTTCTACGGGCCACGCAGGTAAGGGCTGTCAGCAGCAGCCAAGCCAGTGATAAACCCACAGCGGCACCTCCCAGCAGGCTGCCAGAGCCAGAGCCAAGGCCTGGGTCTGCTTCCAGATCCTGTGCCCTCCTCGCAGCACTTCTCACTGTGCCCATCCCTTCTTCCATCTTCCCCCAGGTCCTACTGCTGGGAGCACCGCCCTCAGCAGGCAGCAGAAGCAGCTCCAGAACAGGACACCAATTGCCTCATCTGCTTTGAGCCTGTGGGGGATACCGTGTCCTACCATACCATGGTTTGTCCAGTGTGTAAACATGCCTGGTTCCACCGGGGCTGTATACAGGTAGGAGCACTCCTGCTACAGGCATGGCTGGTGCTCAGCTGCACAAGGCCCTGCTCACACTCACACAGCTTCTGCTTCTCCTACAGGGACAGGCCAGGAGTGCTGGCACAATGTGTTTCCGGTGTCCCATCTGCAGAGACAATAAAAAATTCAGCTATGAAATGACCATCCTGGGGATCCAAATCACATCCCGGTGGGTGTCTTTCTGCTCAACTAGGCAGATACTAAGTCTCGAACGTTGGGTCTGCCCAATGACAGTCTCCACAGCCCTAGCCCTTTGCAGTCCTATAGTGCAGGCCTCGGGTATGTGGAGAAACTGGAAGCAGGTTCATTGTGAATGAGCAAGGATGCCCTGGATCTGCCTTATGCCAGGGGCACTGGGGGCTCATCACTTTCTCTCCCTTCTCCGGCAGACCACCATCATGGGAGGACAATGATGCGTATGCATCGCTACGAGAGAGGCACAGGCACTGCGATGTCAGCAAGTGCCTTCACCCAGGAGGAAGGGAGCAGACAGAGGAAGAGGGGTGAGTTACCTCAGCGGTTCTCT